AGTAACTATATATTATATGTAGGCTTTTTGCACCCATCTCGAAGAGCCATAAAGACGTGTATTTATAGCATAATTGTAAAAAGCACGCATTTTCTAAAATTAGATTAAACGAAAATATAGTAACTGCGAAAATGAAGACAGGAATGTGTGTTGTTTCTTTAGCTTTACAAATGTAATTAATTTTTTTAATCGTTATTTTAGTTGAAACAAAAATAGGTTAATGGCGATTGTTTAGGAAAATAAATGTAATTATAATATTTATTTTGTAAAAATGGTGCGTAATGTAGTTTTTTTTTTTTTTTTTTTTGTTAAGGAATAAAACTTTTTTATTATCTTTACTGAAAGTAGCTAAAGCCAAAAATCTTCCACTTGCCGTGAGTAAATACTAAATACACAGTTGGCTTACAGGAAACAAACTACCGTATTATTTAGAGTTATTAAACATCCGGATGGGCTGTGATAATGTAACACAATCACAGCCCATCGCGCGGAACAATGAAGTATTCTAAATATTTAGGATTGTACTATATTTTTAATTCCTTAACCTATAAATATGTATTAAATTGATGTGTTTTAGAATTTTTCCTTAAGTCGTTGACGGTGGCGCTTGTATTCATTGTTCTTTTCGTGCGGCGCTTGAATTAGCGTTCTGTTTCGTGGGGCGGCGTAGCGCCAAATTATAAAATTTACATTTTTAAATTAAAAAAGTAAAATTATAAAATTAAATTATTATTTTATATCATAAAATTTTATATTTTATAATATAATAATTGTATTTTTTATATTCAAGCGTGACCCATCGGTGAGTCATGTAGGCCCGCGGAACAATCAAGCATGACCCACCGTTGGGTCAAACCGCCTCACGGAACAGACAAGGATGACCCACCGGTGGTCGACGTGTTAACCTATAAATATGTATTAAATTGATGTGTTTTAGAATTTTTATAATTTTTTAACTTCATGTTTACTATTTTTATCACCTTAAAGTTAAGAAAGGTCAGGCTACTTATATATCCAGGTAGCTGAAGCATTCAGGTGAACGAAATAGATTAAAGAAGAATCGACAAAAACTCATTTTTAATATCCCCCTCCCCGCAAAAAATAACTAAAAAGCTCGTCTACAAGAGATCACAGTTGATTAAGAATGGAATGCATTGAATTGAAGCATTTTAAAAGAGATATGTCACGTTCTTAAAGAGACAACGCCCTGTTTTGCAAAAATAAAGTTTTCACAAACCGTGACGGGCAAAAAAGGCTAAAAATGCTTTTTCTCCGTTGAGAATTTCATCCATCCAGCTCCCTGAATTAGTGCAGCTGCTTATTAGCGAGTTCCTAATGCTAAATATTTCCTAATATATTGCTTTTCTTCCAAAATAATATTTCAAGTCATTACCACTAATTGCAGAGTCATTCTCTAATTGCCATTCTCTAAAATTTATTATGATGGGTTGGTTTGGAATACATTTTAGACCATTACAATGGGAAGCATATTTTAAAACCTAATTAGGAGTAATGGAAATAATATTAAATTGCGACTTACTTATTTTAATAAAATTATTTGGAGATTATTAGAAGAGAGCTACGCCTTTCTGGTGTACCGTATGTTAACCTCATATTATCCATATCGTTTCGGCAACAAAATGATATGCGCAATCTCAAATATAGCATACTTAAAATATAAAATCACAAAATTTCATTGTTTCTGACCTTTGAACCCGAGTTCTTCATCCCATGTCCGATTTACAGAACATAAGCGACGTCGCAATGTTTGTCGTTGGTCGTATGAATAATGTTGATACGAATTAGTTTTCGGCAAATCTTCTGCGAACATGAAAATCATAACTGAATTCCCAGTATACGTGTTTAATAGCCTTCTGTGCCTTCTGAGGTACATATTCCTTGTGCGCTTCGATAAATATTTTAAGTAGTTATTCGAGTTGAGCTGAAGGTATAAACGATGTAAAAATCTCCCCCCCCCCAAAAAAAAAAAAATTATAAAGCTATAGCAAAAGATACCATTACAAAGATGAATCTTTCATATTTTCCCAAACATTAACTTCCTAAATTCAAATTCAGAGTTTGTAGGTCTTAACGATGTGATACAGGTTCGTTCGTTAATTTCAGCGGAGCACGCTAGGGACTGTGCACATAAGAAGGATGCTATCATGGACAACTTTCTGGAGGGAAACTGGTTTAACCGCATTTTTGCCTACATCAGTGTCTATTATATGGGTTACTGGATGGGGTATTTGTTATAAAAAATGTCTCAAATTATAGTTTAAGCGACTAAGAACGTCAAGGTGTAAAGGATACCACATGAATGACTACTTTATTTCAGCTACAGGGTAGCCGCTTGTTCCCTGATAAGCCCCTATAATAATTCCTAGTTGATTCGCGAATGGTCAGTAATGAGCCCCAGTTTAATTAAATATAATTCCTATTTGCATGTAAATGACGTTGGTACATTTTAAAAATTAGCATTTAGTCTTTCATCGGGAAAAAGTGTTCAAAAAGTCAAATTTGAAAAATTAATTATATTTAGATATTTTCTCTGATCTGATATATCTTTCTTTTAGTGAACATTTATTGAGAAAACAGAATAGAACATTAACACATATTTTAATGCCATAAAAAACAATTTATTAAAAGATATAAATGTATTGATTTTTTATTATTATTATTATTTATTCTGTAGCTCAGATGCACAGGTGTAGTTTAAGTATGTCTCTTCTGTCTTTAAAATGAAATTTACCTTTAAGTGTATTATTAAAAAATCATGTATTTTCGAAATCATAAGTGTAGGAAATTGAATGGTGTAACAATACTGCGCCATCTAGATGAAATCTCATACGAGTAAGAGCAACGATGGCGAACGCAAACGTTAGTGTTGTGATAATCATTCTTCTTCTCTTATTACTTTTAATTTATGTAAGTAAATCGCAATTTAGTAATGAGATTCTTTAATTAATTTGTTAAACAATTCTGTTTGAATTCCATGATTTTTAACTGCATGTATTTATTTCTTTGACTTTCTGTAACCATTATTGTCATTACTTAAACTGTATTGACGATGATAGTTATGACACCGATGTGAACTCATTGTCTGTTTTGGTAGTGACATGTCATAATGGAGAAAATGGATTATTATCTGTTATTATTAAGGATGAATTGTGTTATATACATGTACAATGAACATATGGAATTATTTTTCAGTTGGATTTACATGTCTATATAATGATAGTGATTGTGTGATTTATATTGTTACTTTGCTAATTTTGATAGATTCAGAATTTCAATTTGCGAACTATATAATTGGACTTGCAGGTGTACATAATGATTACGAGCTTGTGAATTACAGGCAGAGTACTCTTATTTGCGAACTATATAATGTTTCGTAGAGATTTTTATTATGAAAATTTTTTGCACATTTTAGAGATTTTCATGAATATTAACTGGACTATTATATTTAAAAGATTGTACAAATGACCGCTTTGACTTTTATAAGATTCTACTGTGGTGTTAATTCTGAATAGCTGAAGGTAGCCTTCTCTGTGGTAAATCATACGAACGTTATTTTTGCTTGTGTAACGACATACCTTTAGTCCTACGTCGCATAATAGTGCAAAGATGTCTGTGTTTCATTTATGTACACTGATTACTGTAACTTGTATTTGCTTGCGAACAAAATAATTGCCGCTGGGCGGTAGCTAGCTAGGAAATCTCCTTCCGCCGTGTAGGCATTACTCTGCTTGTTTATACCTTAGGTCAGGAGCCTGCACAGTGATGTTCAAAATAATTAAGTAACATCTAATGTAATCTAGTAATAACTCGGTTAGTGTTAGTGATGTTTTTCTCATAAAACGTTACTAAAAATTTGATAAAATTTTCGAATATAATTTCAGTGAACTATTTCTGGGCTTAAAATAGGTTAACTCTAATTGAATGAATAAATTGAAAGTATATTTACTGAAAGTGAGGTAGAATAAATTTACAGTTACAAGTATGAGAATAAATTTACAGTTACAAGTATGGGGACCAAGAGTAAATTAAAACAAGAATTAGGAATTCGTTATTACTCACTAAAAATACGCTCAGTTAGCCCGCGCTGTTTTGAAATTTAAGTGCACTTCAACTCTCTGTATTTTATTTGCTTTTTTTTGCTGAAACTGGTCTATGAAAACTGTGTGATTAGCAGTACCATGCAATCTAAAGACATTAGATTACTTTTAGTGTGTGTTTATTAGTTTATTGCAAATACGCGGATGCTATCTGCGTAAGGGAGGGATATCTTTCTGAAAAATTTTCTTAGTGAAGCTGGCTTGTATTTCATGTTACAAGTGGTGAAAATTACAGAAGCGTACAAGTAGCTTATTATTTCGTCGGCTGTCTAATCCGACCAGTGGCTTGTTAAAACATACATTCAGCAAATGATTGTGTGCTTCGGCTACATCAAATTCGTTCAAATTATGTTCTTGTAAGTTTCAAAATTACTTTATTTTGCGGCATCATTTACCCTTTGCATCTTTCAGTTCAACTTTCTGTCTCACAGGAACATCAGCCCAAGCCCACGAAATTCATCGTGGCAAGGAGCGCTCAAGATACGCCTGCTGTTGGCAAGCCGTGAGCACCTTACAGGTGGCACTGCGATTTTGCTCAGTTCCGTCCCCAATTTTGATGGAGAGCACCCTGGCTAGGAGGACGGGTCCGAGGGTCTCCCACCCTTCTCCCCTTCCACCAAACCACACGAGAGGCTCGCCACATATTTACAGTGTCGCCATGCCGCACCGACACTATACATTTACAAACATCCATGCCTTCTCCGGGATTCGAACCCGGGACTTTCGGCACGGCAGTCAGCGACGCTAGCCACTATATCGGTTGGGCGGCTTCACTACTCTTTAACCTAACATCAGTAGCGTAATTTTCTACCTACTCGTGCTTGTTTTTTTTTTTTTTTTTTTTTTCCATAGTAACATGAATTCCGCTGCCTCTCTTATTAGGTTGGCTTCTGATGCGGACCATCCGAACGCCCAGAGGGTACAGTAGTACAGAGGAGCAATACCTGTAAAAGTCATTGACGAAGTTCTGGTGCTCCGTCCACTTTTCCCTGTCTCCGTTCCTGCCTGTCTTCCTTTCCATTTGTATTGGGTGTGAATGTATAAAAATTGCTTTTGTACTTCTGCACTAACTTGCCTCCAGCTCCCAGCATCATTCACATCAAAGAAAGAGAGAGAAAGAGCCTTGCTATGATATGTAATATAGATTTGTTAGATGTTGCTAGAAAATTTTCTCACCGCAAACTAGATTTTATTTTGAATGCAGGAGAACAGTGTAGGTAAGAATTTAAAAAAAAAAAAAATATTGTAGATCTATTGTTAGGTTGTTAGAAACCTATTTTATTATTTATGATACGCGCAGTACATTATTGGGAATTTTAAAATTATTTTTTAAATGATTTAACTTACACCATATTGAACAAGGCAACCAGATCTACGTGTATTATCGCAGAACATGATGATTTTGTCAATATATAAATAAATAAAATGAAGAGGATTTAAAAAAAAAAAAAAACTAAGGTGGTAATTGAATTTGTTTCTTTTATTGGAGATCTACAACAGCTTACGTGTAAAAATTAAAGAACTAGAACAATTTACTTGAAATACTTTAATTCCTGGAGTGATGCGAACTCTTAACTTCGTGGTTCTTTATTTTTCTTATTTTATTTTGCTTAATTATACTTGTAATTAATTTTCATTTGAAATTATATATAATTAGAAGTTGCTGAAAAACAAAACATTACTCTGCCTGTATATTAAAACTAGCTTTAAAGAAATGATTATGCATCAAAACATAATAATTTATGTTAAATGTTCAAGAACTCCGTAAAGAAAGGAGTTTGATATTCAATATTTTTTCTTTTTGCGCCTGTTTTATAATTATTAATTGAGTCATCAGAAGAACTTGTTAAATTTTATGAAGCCGTCGGCATCCAACTGATTGCGTTTTCTGTAGCACATTTATTTTAATACTATTTTGCCTTGATATTCTATATTTTATGGCAGATTTTTTTAAATACGAAAATCTATATTTTATGGCATATTTTTTTTAACAAGTGTCTTTTTAGCCCTTGTTTAACCCTATTTAACTAAAGCAGGACTAGGAGGAAAGTTAGACCTCCGACTAGAGGCTTTTCGTCGGCTCCACGTCTAGCGTAACGTCGTAACGCTTTCCAGTCATATTTTAGGCATGATAGTCGTACTGGCCCGAATTATTTTGGGATTGCCAACGCTCTGTCAGTTATTGCATAAAAACAAGTAAGTCTTATTCAGATGACTGTAAGTTATGCGCATATAATTTAGTAGGGATTCTGTAATGCATGTAGATTTTATTTTATTACCAAAATTAGTATGGAGGGGAAAAAAAAAGGGTTTTTTTTTTTTATTATTTTTTTTTATTGATTTAGACTATTATTCTGCTGAAAATATCTATCAAGCTTTTTCATTTCATGAATTACATTTGATGGAGCCTTTAAAATGTACAAAAGATTTTTGTAAAGCTTGCAGTATTTTAATAATTTAGCTTTCTCTATGATTACGTTTTTGAATCAAAGTCCCTTCTAAATCAATAGTTTAATTTCAAATCTACTTCAATGTAAGGTTGCTCCTTCACCTAATTTTACATTTTATGTTGATATATTCTCTTCCATATTAACTGTCAGGAATATTTCGGCACACCACCGCAACGGTTGAAGAATCTTGCCAGGAATGTCTTGGAGTTCGTCGGGAAGTGTTAATTATCTTCCATAATAGTAATAATATTGTTATATTCAAACTTCCCAAAGTAAAAATAATTTAAATAATATTAACACGATGAACTCTCTCGTGGCAACCACTTCTGAAAATGAACAGCAATCTGAGGCCGTGAAATAATGTCAGTATTGAACATCCCCTTCCCAAGGCGACCATTTCTCTAGAAGACCAAAGCAGCTGGAATTGTGGATTGTCGTTTATTGCATTTGTTTTTTCAGAGGAAAAAAATAACCAGAATTAAATTTAAACGGGCCTTAATTACATTATAATAATGCGCTTCAAAATGAAGTATAATATTTCATTATATTGTATTTTGAATATAAATAATTTTAAAATTAAATTAATGTATTTAAAAATCATGGAAAAGTCGTAACCATAGTTTTCAGTGCAGTAAATATTCATAGCAATAATTTCATTTTAACAAGAGGCATACCAGCATATTCAACTGCTACTTTGAAATGGAAATGCCATTTCACTATCTCCGAACTATTTGATGCTATGAAAATGAAGTGAATGAAACCCTTCACTGAATTGAAAAGGTAAAAAAAAAAAAAAAAAAGCATGCTTTCAAAGCACCCTATTGTTACTTTTTCTTTCCTTTTTTTAATATCCTTTTGTCGCCAATGCTGCCGCTTCTCGCCAAGTGGGTAAACCATTCGTGCTGAAGAGGATGTGAGGCAGTGTCCTATTGAAAGCGATGTGACCGTAGTACCGGTGGATAGTGTTTTGGTTATCTCAGTTTCAGGGCCGCCGTCGGGCGTTCGGAATTATATCAGAGCATTCGAAACGTTCTACTTTTTCTATCTTTTTTTATATCATATTTCCTTGACAATATGCTGTAAAATGCCTTCGGGTCATTGTTTCTGTGCTAGATGTCGACGCGCTGTTTTGGATTTTGGTGTCCAGTATTTCTCTAGTTTCAGGAATGGTAAGTTCTTATTTTTGGATACTCGAAAAGGTGTTTGTTGCTTTTATTGTGTTGTATTTCTTATGTGCATGTTATTTGCGTCATTTGTGTACTTTTTCATTGGAGTTTCTTGTGGTTTAAAGGGAAAATAAGATTCCGATCATTCTGGAATCGCTTACAATGTTGTTTCACGATACATTTTTAAATATCTCTGTCATGTGGTGTCGGATTATTTGTTTTTCCCTTAAGTTGCGGCAGGGGAGGGGGACATTATCCTGATGAAATGGATATTTTTTCCTCTTCATTTGATTTGTTTCTGTAATATATCTACATGTCTGAAGTATATTGTTGATTTATGCATAGCATTTCTCAACTCCCTTTGAAAAGAATAACTTCATTCCGTGCTGATTCTAAAGGTATGCAAAACTGCATTGTAAATTTTTACGTGCATTAGATTACGTATAGGTAGTTAATTGTAAAAAATTAATAATCGTGACCATCCGTATAATAACATATTGGTCGTAAAATGCGTTTTTAGGTGCTTGTATTGCAATGATAATGACTTACAAATGATTTATTTCCTATGACCTCAATAATTCTGCATTGTAAAGATTACTGATAAGTGACGATCAGTTATAAAAGGAAATATTCTATTTTCTTTGTTTTTGTCTTATTATTATTTATGACGTGCTTCGCCATAAGGCACTGCACGAAAAGGGAAGGATGCCATGTAGAGCACTTTTTTAGAGAAATTGCGGCGTTTACCGCTCGGGCACTGGTGGGTTATTTCATATGCTTGAGTGGTTCAAAAATGTGTATGTAAATGAAGCTCAAGATAATTCTGCAGTAAGGGAAATTTTGTTTTATTTTTCTCTTAAATGTAAGTTGGCATTATTAGTATCTAAGCATTTAAATGTGAAGCATGAATATATTAAATATTTTGGCGAAAATACCGACAATATGACGAAACATGAAATTAACCTACTGACATTCAAATTATTGAATGCGGCCTTCTTTCTCATAAACACAATGATCATATTTGATTTCTTGTCATAATGCCGTATTTATGACTTTTAAGGTAGAGTTTGTAGTTTCTCTTTAACTACAGTACAGCATTATTTTATTTGTGTAATATCTTATGTAAGTGGCTCTTGTTAACTATGTAATCCTGGTTTGCTGGTATAATAGAAGCACATATTGTCATTTTCAACATATTTTGTATAGGTCTGCTTTGGTACACGATTTTTGGTATAGGTCTGCTTTGGTATACCATTCTTCTTTACGCTATCCCTTTGTCCTTGTACAACGTGTTTATGAGCCAGTTTCCCTTAGGAAGTCTTCATGAAAGCATCCCTTCCTTTGGGCGGATAGCCTTCGCGTGCTTTGTCATAATTAAATAAATCAAAAGTCCCCTATATTTTTGTTATTTGCTATGGTTATTTCTGTATCATCATCTTTTTTTGCTGAAAACATTCAGCGTCCTTTATCTTAAGGTATTCCATGTATACAGGGTGGCCCACAACGTACCTGCTAAATGTAGTGCTGAACGATAGCATGTAAATTTCATCCAGGTTTAATGCAATGTACTTGCCATTTATAATACCTCAGTGCCTATCTGTGGTCGGGTTGGTAATTCGAACTGAGTTCAATTCCTGCGAATAGGCTATATAGTGCTAGGTTTTTGTTAATGTGCAACATGAATATTCATTTTGTATTTTTCGTTAGTTTTTGTTTGAAGACTCACTCTGCAAAAGCATTTCATCCCTTAGGCAGATAAGTCATTACCACTGTTTTGCCATAATCAATTAAACAGTAACATTTTCCCGTAAGTTTTCCCTATCCTTGATATTCTTTCCGAATATTATCTAAGAATTGGAGGATGCCTATTGGAAGAGCCAAGTTTTCGTGTTAAATTGATTCTTTCAACTTCTCTAAAAGGTTTTTGATCGAAATGTTTTCATAAAGTTCTATATAAATGCACGGGTCTAATCTTCAAACGCTATTCTGATCTTCAGAAGGCTTTCTGATGGTTGAATGAATGCTTGGACGAGACCTGTATGCTTGCTGTGTAATGTCGACCGCTATTTTTCATCTGTAAAATGGAAACGCATGAGAAACATTTCCTTTAAAGATACGGTTATCATATTTTTAGAGCGCAAATCCGAGACGCATGCAATCGCGCTGGAATCGAATGAAAATGCCTTGCATTTGATGCATAGTCTGTGTGTTTTTTATTAACGCAATAATTGTGAACCATTTTTCTCTACGAAAATTTTCTATGGATGCTCATGTCCAAGACATGTTGTGAAAAATTAATTTCAGTGATTGGAAAGCCTTCAGCATGCACAACATACAGACCTGTGTGTCAGAGTAGAAGGAAATTATGCAGTACGTATAACAAAATAATCAAGATGTTGAAAAGTAGACAGCATACTTTTATTGGCAGCATTTCTATTCTGAAGTTGATAGAGTAGCTGTGATTAATGTTTTCGTCTGATATTATCATTTTTTCATTAGTTTCCTTAAAAACTTTGTTGAATTTTATATGTTCACAAAAATCACGACATGATAATTTGGAATTAACTTTCAAATTTAAGTTTTTTTTTTAATATTGACACCTGTAATCCACTTTTTCGTGAGGGCTAATTGTTATTCGCTGTTGAAAAAATACTGATATTTGACATCTAAATTAGAGCTGATGCGTTTAACGGCGAAACTGAGTAACTAGATCTAGCATGTCTCGTTTAAAAATCAGTGGCATTTTTCAGTACCGGAAAAAACCCCGG